GAATGTGAATTGAGTTTAAGCGTCTAATGACTTTTTTCTTTTTCTTTCAGATTTGGCGGACATTTGGACGATATTATTTTTCACACATAATTGCCATGACTTAAATAACATGATCCAATAGAGAAATAAATAAATTTTCACCAATAACACTGATTTATTTAATTTGATCCATCATATTGAAATACCATTTATATTATTTATTTTAGGATATTAAAACAAAAACATATAAAAACCGCTCCACGATTTTTTCATTTAGATGTATTTTTATTTTTTCGATTTTTAACGTTTTCCTTTTGATATCCTAAAATAAATAATATTTAACTCTATTCTCTATTGATCCATCTTTTAAATTGAATGTTACGTACAGAAGAATTATACTCCATCTGTTCTCGTTTTACACACACACACACACACACACACACACACATATATATATATATAATTATTTATTTAAAAAAATTTATAACATAAATATGTTATAAAATAACTACAAAAATAGCCATTTTGTTTCAACACCCTCGGTGTCTTATCAAGTGATGATGTTGAATGTAAAATAAATGGTTTTAAAATATACTTATCATATACTTGGATATATATATATATATATATATATATATGTGTGTGTGTGTGTGTGTGTGTGTTGGGAGGTGCGTATTTGTGTGTGTGTGGGGTGCGTGTGTGCATTTCTTTGGCTTGTACATCTTTACATTTGCCTGAAAGACCTCACGGTCGAAAACCGGGTTGCGATGTTGGTTGGCATTTTAGCCTTTTCTTCTTAGCTTTACATATTCGATTTAAAATTTTGTATTGAGCACTTTTTTGTTGTCTATACCCTTTAGGCGCGGCTTTTTTTCAGTCTTCCTTTTACATTTCTGTCCATATATACATACATACATACATACATAAATATATATATATATATATATATATATATATATATATATATATATATACATCAATGTAGTGATTCTAGAGAAACAGAAACATTTTTTGAAAGAACGAATAGCAGAGATATTGTTGCACCGTGTGTTAGGCCTATAACCAATCAGCTTCTCCTTAGGTTTTATATTCAGAGTTTTCCTTCTTCTAGTCTGGTTGCCATCCAAGGCAAGAAACACAATTCCGCCCCATTATTTAACACATTGCTGGAGGAAGATGAATACATTTTCCCAAGGACAATACTTATAAAACCCAGGTTGTTTGCGTGTGTGTGTGTGTGTGTGTGTGTGTGTGTGTGTGTGTGTGTGTGTTCATTTATATATGGGATCGGATTTCCTACATTTTTCAACCGATTTCAACAAAAAATTCACTTTTTTTTGGCAGGTAGTGTTTCTTATTGTCTTGCTTTTTCATTTTTTTCTTTATTTTTACATTCAGAATGCTTTAAAAATTCTATTCAATCGATAGACTCATAATGATTGAAAACAATGTTTTTGTTTGAGTTTGACCAATTCGTAAAAAAACAAAAAAAAAAAAAACTAATTAAGACATGCGTAAATAATTATATTTGCTCTACTCTGTATTGAGCACTCATTTAAGAATAGTATTTTTTGGCTATTGGAATGTATTCCCTAAACACCGCTCCTATACTTGGGTATATATATATATATATATATATATATATATATATATATATATATATATATAGCATAATGAGAAGCCAATTATATACTTTCTTAATATGTATATATAGAAAAAAATTGCAAATTAAAAAAAAAAATAATGTTTTTTATATATATATATATATATATATATATATATATATATATATATGTGTGTTTGTGTGTGTGTGTGTGTTGTTAATGTATTTTAAGCAACCATTAATTTAAACATCTTTCATTAAATACGGCCAACAAGAAAGATCTAATTTTTTTATTAAGTTATTCCGATATCCTTGAGTTTTTCCGTTTTGCGTTGAGACTACAAAGATTTTACAGAGTTTCCATTGTCTCAAGCGCTTTCGCTCAATTCTATAGCCATTTTCAAGGATTTCTTTTGTCTCTGGTGATGTTATTTTTTACTCATGTTTTGATACTTACACTGGAATTTATTTTTCTATTGTTTTGAATAGGAGCGTTTATTCCGAGTTTTTACACTTTGCGCTCGGCTGGAATTCGCGTGAGAATCTTTATATTTTTACCCCATATCTTTTAACACACCATTTCTGCTGTTAAATAATATGTGGTTGATAGTAGGAGAACAATGTTTGATATACAGAGCCTGTGTAATAGAGAGATGTTTCTGGTAACTTGAATTATATAGAATTATTGCGTTTACGACCAGAATTATATATATATATATATATATATATATATATATATATATATATATATATATATATATATTATTAAAATAAATAATAGTTTTTGTATGTATATATAAAATGTTTTCATTTTCAAAACACAGTCAAGATATTATGTCCATGTTCAAAATTAATATTATTAAGTGTTATGTTTTTGTTTTTATTAATAAGGCTTCCGTTATTTTTAGCCTTTTTTCT